CATTTCTGAGAAAATGCGTCCACTGACAATCGACACACATGTGTACGAATACATTGTCATACACCCGGATATATGACTTCCAAATAAAGTCGCATCTTTTTATTGTTGAACTTTATATTGGTGTATCGAATTGTTAGGAAGCCCTACGTTGGACTTTGCAAACACATACACGAGACAACAGTAACATGATCCAATACCGTCACAATTTGCATAAAAAACATTGATCGTGCCAAATTGAAATAAATACCCACGAAAACTGCCATTCCTTGATGCTAATACATTTTTAAATAAATATTTTAAATATTTGAAACGGTCCTGTGTGTTTGTGTGATTCCATCAAAATGTGGTCAATAAATTCATTCATAATGCGTTCTTCTCTTGACTGCAACATATACTAATGACATTCCAGTTCCAGCAGCAAATCCCATGCACACTGGCCGCTAACCACGGTGCGATTGGAAAGCTCAATGACCATTTCATTGGAAACCCAGACAGCGTTGGCAACAAACAAATAGCAAATGCCTGCCTGCGGTTTATCATATTCTGCTGGTAGTGTCGGCGATAGGTAATGCTACATTTAAGGTTTCCTCATACCTTGCTGTTCATACCAATAGCTACAAAAAATAATGGTTTCTACTCCTGTTATTTATTTTGATTTGGAAAAAGATGAAAATTTATTAACATGTGTTCTGTTCCAGAGCTCTGTACAATCTTATAAATTTGAACATTTTTATCAGACTACTGTATATTATATGAATCAATACAAAGTACCTATCCAAACCCTTTTATATTTCCAGTTTCTAAATTTTTCTGGACATATACAGTGGCGAGCAATAGTTTACAAATGTGAGAACGCAATATAAATGTTTATGATTGTATAGTTTATTAAAATAAACATTGATAACACTGTGCGACAAAATTTATGTCTAGGGGTGGAAAATTCCTATTGGAGATGAGAGACCTTGGTGAGTATATGAATACCCCAAAAGGAAAAATTCGCCACAGGTCACAGTTCGGAGATAGAAATTGACACTTGCAAATTAACATAAACCAACACAAGCGAAAGTGGGGAATGACCTTTTATTGTGATCGTTCACGATAACCCGAGTTAAACTTATTTGTTTTTCTATTATGGTGCAAAACAAATTAGTTTAACAAATAGTGTTTATTCCCTATTCTAATTTTCGTTGAAATATCCTAGCTAGAAAAAGTATTATTAAAGGATTTGTGGAAAATGTATCAACATTTTTGCACGCCACTATACGCGTACATGTTATATGTATAGAATGTACGGTGTGCACGTGTTGCAACATTTCTCTTAAGGTAATTACTATTTGTTGGTTTCCATGACCGATTACAAATGGTGCAACACCATAAACAAATTGATAAAAGTGCAGACCGTGCGTTCGTGGATCTCGTTCCACTCATTGCTTCCACCGATATAACAGCCATTTAGATATTGGATTGTAATAGAACCAATATTGATATTAGCATTCTAGGCTCAACCCGCGACCACTGACCACTCACTCACCAACTCAGTCCGAACTAAAGTGGCAGCAGAAATATACCAATTCTCCGACAGCACTTCATTTGCTCTACCCAAAAACACACTGCGTACAAGTGAGTACGGCAGATTTGTTCTTGCCAGTAGCAGTACTAGACGTGACATGGCGTACATATGACAGCATCCCCTTTTTGCTGCGGTTAAGGCCATTAATGCCGAGTCTCGTATACCGGTCTACCACAACAGCCATTGAATAATCATTTGTTTGGAAAATGTCACACGCACTGAATAAAAACCGGCCGAGAATATGAACACGAAATCGAACCAAACCCGTCATACAAATAGACAACACCGGGCCGACTTACGAATTGGGTGTATGCGGTGTGTGTCATCAACAGTGTTGCCAATGTAGCACTTTTGGTGCTACATTTTTTCTAGAATTGTTTTAATATTGTTGATATGATAACACAAAATTATTTTTAACATTTTATCCTTTTAAAATCACTAACAACATTGAAATATGTAATACTATCAAATATAGTCACTTCAGTTGTCGAATAAATCTTTCGCTTTTTACTAAATATGTCCGGGTAGAGGAGCACTCAAACTATACCGAAACCTGATATATCCCGATATTTTTAATACCAAAATATCCTAGGAGTAGTTGCAATTTATTTACATTTTGGAGATTTCAATGTAATAGCAAACAACTGCCATTAATTGAACAAACGGGAATGAATTTCCTATTTTTTGATATTTTTAATAAAAAATAAATTCAATTTCGTCGTTCATGTAAAAATATAATGTTTCCAATTCAACTTCATTGCTAGCTCCTTTTATCGTTTTTTTCTTTTTTTATTTTTGTTTTAATTTGTAGGAGATTAGGAAATATCGAGCATTTGCTCTCAGTAATGTTTTGGCATCACTGGATATCAGACACAAACCCGTTGACCACAAACAGACTATTAAATGTTTCCAACTCAATGACTGGCATTTGTTCGTTTATTTGCGAAATGCACTTCGAACAAATCTAAAGGGAAACCTTTGAGATGTTTACATAACCGCCGGAACACAATTTCACTATGGGGAATTAGAATGAAACCGTAGAGGTCAGCGCGGTGAACCATCGAAAGAAAAGTCAACGATTACCAGTTGACCAAAACAAGGAGATTGGTGATTTTGACCGAATTGGACAATCAGCAGAAATACTTCAGGTGATGAAGTCAAACATCTCGCTTCCTGTCCGGAATGAAACGGGTGGCGGTTTCTAAAGCTACAGAAATGGAAGACCAAAATCCAATATGCATATATATTTTACAAAGTTTCTGAAGTTAAATTTTCTAGCAGATAGATTTCCAAATACGGACGGACATTTTTAGTGAAAATACTTTGTATGAATAAATATCGTGATTTGTTTATAACACGTGAATTGGTTTGAGACAAGCCTTACTGTGGGTCCTTGCTTTTGGTAACATTGTGTGCTATTGTTTGCCAACCAATTGTACTGAATTGAGGTGTAATCCAACCACAGCTTCGGCGACAATGTATCAATTTCTCAGAATCTTTAGCGGAGGTACTTCCATTCGACTAAACACCTAATTCGGCGGCTGTCAAATGATTAGTCATTCGAACACCCACCCATTTCTCTCACACAAAGCGCATTTTGCGTATGGTTTTTAGAGCGAACGAAGTGAAAAAGCGTTTAACTTGCCCATCGATTCATGAAACCATGAAATTACACTTTAAGTGTTGCTTCCAAGTTATCCCGCAATAATAAATTGCAGCCGGAGCAGCAAATGTGGTTATGCGGATTGGGGGAAGTTCCATTGTAAGAAATATTTTCATGTTTTTCATTTAGCTTAAAGAGTTTCATGCGCCACTTTTTTTTGTATTAAAACTTATAGCCGCTACATGTGTCGCCGTTCCAGTACACAATGAAATTCTGCCGGAGGTGGTGCACAAATCCTGAAAATGCGCCCACTCCTAACATTTTCTTGCCTCGGTCATGAAGAAAAACTCTGCCATTTTCGGTAACCGGAAGTCAAGTGCATTTTCTTCGGTTTTTAGTTTCCTCAAGAAACAACAACGTCGGGATGAAAACCAAACAAACAGCATTTGTTTGAAGAAACTAAACTTTAAAGTGCAGTTGTAGTTGTGGTACTACGTTGGGACAACGCACAATGAATTCAACTAGAAATAGAAATGTATTATGTATACGACTGGTTGTGCTTCTCGATGTGTGTAAGTGTGTTTGTGTGTGCCAGTTTTTTATCTGCAATTCACTGAAGCCAAGCATCGTTGCTGAACATTTAATCTTAAAGGCATCATTTAATAAAAATATTCTTTTTAGCAATAAAGAGAGCCGCTCTTTTGAACTTGTTTAAACACAAATTCTCTCATAGATAGGATGCGTGCGGTAGTTTACCTAATGTTGCCTTATAAATCGATTCGAGCCAAGATGTTGCTCACAATAATGGGTAATCTCGAACTTGGATGTTGCTCACAATAAACGGAGGTTCAACTTCCATTACCAACATCATCGATCATCAATCGAGATCTAAATACAATCCGTCACAGTAATTCAGAAACTGTAAATACCGTTACAATTTACAGACAGAATAAATAATGCTGGTGAATTACTAAAATAACGTGAACGTCTTGCATATTTTCCAGGGACAGGTAGGGTAAAACGAACTGTTCAATATTTATATGTGTCATTGTGGAGTATCTCGTGCAGCGGCAAATTACACCTCCGGTAAAAACGACACAAATAATAACAACTACAACAACAAAGAGAAATGTAATTCTTAAATTTACAACTTGCACAAGTTTTCACATAAAAATTCTACACGCTATAATTTCAATATTATTTCCTGCGTATTTTTTCTTTGGAAGTGATGATAAGAGGCCCGTTTTATACGGAACCAGTACAGCAATTCATCTACCCTCATACTCGGTGCTGTCCTTGAGAGTGTAGGATTTATAAACCAGGAGCCATTATATGGATGGAGCAACTTGTTAGAGAGTTGACATAAGGAAATAAAAACTTTTTGTTTTTGTTTCTACTCCCATGTTAGTATTTATTACGTTTTTATTTCTTGTTTGGTTTTTATACATCTCCCATGAATGCTTAGAAAAAGGAGACGTGCAAGAACAACCCAAATAATGAACAGTAAGAGCAGCTGTCATAATTCCATTTTCCATGGTAGGAATAAACAAAAGCAAACGACAATATGAGGAAGCAGCAAATTAAACAACTATGAAACCATATTCAGAGTTTAAAGTCGAACCAAATGACCCTTGTCCCCAGAGAAGGCGTTCGGTGTTGTCTGCATCAACGTTGCTGCGTCTTGACACCCCCAACACCCGGTCTTATCAATTATAATGGAATGTAATAAAAAAGTCAGTAGGAGGGCAATCTTTAATTCGAAACAAAACAATGGGCAAAACAACAACAACAGGCACAGCGAGATAGGATCCTCCTTTCAGATGCAAAATGTACGCTTCGTTGAGCACTACAGCCAGTGAGCTGTGCTATTTGGTTATTCGCCAAGCAACCGCCCAGAAACTGGGTGGCAGATGCCAATGTGTACACTCAACGTGGCAGGAAAAGTTTGTCATAAAAAATAATGGTAAAATTTGTTGCGGTTTATGAGATTTTATTATAATTTCCTTTAGACGCAACTCTACAGGCGGTCCACTTAAGCCCGGGATTATGCGGTGAAAATGATGTTCACAACTTTGCCACGGCATTCTATTCATCTCGCTAAGCTTATTCGTACTTCAAATGAGTAAAAGGTCCTTAGCGATGGCCGGCAGACAGGATGGCAGAAACTTTGAATTTAAAGCGAACGCAAATATTCGGCCATTCATATGTTTAGCAAAAATTTGTTTCAAACCATATTTTCATTGAAGGTCAGTTAGCAGATGTTGTTGGCATTCTTTTATACAGTGGCCGTCGAAAGTGTTTCAAACTTTGTTATCTTTAAGAATTCACAATTCTTCAAAAAAAAAAAATATATACATATATATATATTTAAAAAAAAATAGTAAAAAGTGCAAAAGGAGAATGGTGTCAGCAATTGCTTCAAATAATTAAACATACCGTACAATATGTAAGCTTTTGCCTATTTAACATTAACTATGTATTTGACCATACTTATTATAGTGGGGAGTTGTATATTTTTTATGCACGTCAGATTTCATATAGCCTTTTTTTATAGTGGCATGCTAGGTATATCCCGAAGTTGTTCAATGAATGTGTTTCTTTTTTCGAAATTAACCATCTATTGCAAAACAAACTAGAAAAAATAGTTTGAAAGCCTAATTCAATATTGAGGATATATAAAGGTCCCTTACACCGCAGGGCAAGCATGACAGCATTTGATATAGTATTATATTCTTGGGTTATTGGCGATTTTATGTCAGTGAAGAACTGGTCGCGAATAATTTTGAAAAGTTTCCCACATTTGGCTTATATTGTAAATTTGTTGTTTATATTGTAAATTACAGTCAATTCTCGCCTCCTTAAAGAAAAGTTTAGGGACATAAATCCCCGGTCAAAGACTACATCAAAGAAATTGTGTATGCAGATTACATAGGTTACGCAACATAATATTCTTTTTAATTGTGCCAATTTTGGGTTTAACCTCCGCCGAAACCTATGTTTCGACATGATTTATAGTGTATGGGGCCTTTTAGGATTCAATAATAAAAAATGACGCAAATAATAGGTCATCCAGAATGCGAATTTCAGGATATCTACTACCCTGTATCTACATCTTCTGTCAAAAGTTGTTGTGTCGATAATATCTTTAAAAAATTTTCGAATTTAATTTGGACCATTTGGACCAAGGTCTATATTATGTCGACCAGTAAGCGGTTTCATAGGGAAAACTTAAGTTCAACGTTAATTTTTTTGCCGAGGCGAAAACCTAAATAAAAAACACAACACAATTTATAATTTTGTAAGATAATTTACTTAAAAATGTTCTTTAAAATCTTAAAATAGTCCAAATGTGTTTTAAAAAGACGATATAAATTAAAATTGAATTACAAATTGACAAAATATTAATATTTTCGTTTCGACGTCTAAATGTAAGCGTACAATAGGTTTATTCATAAGGTTAACAGGGAGGCGAATTCGAAGTATTTATTGACTGTCAAATTTATTGTTTGAAGAATAAATAAAAAAACATATTTTTATTCGAACCAAAATATATGTGCACATTACTATCATTAAGTTTTCCTGAAAGATATTTTGAATTTTTATCCTGCTCTGGTTGGTATTTCGCGATTAAAATGTTGACAGCCTTATGAATAAACCTTGATTTGGGCAAAAAATGTAGATATCAGCTGGCCTTAATGTGTGACCTAATATATAGACCTTGATAGAACCCTGCGTCTACAGTTTTTTGTCGAATGTTGATGTTGTGATGAAAATATATTTGAAAAAATTGGATTTATTTTGCACTTGTTGATCGCGCACAACAAAATTTAAAAAATAATTTATTTTTCACAACACTTGAAATACACTATGAGCGAATGCACCCTGCAATACAGTAGAGCAAGATTGCTTTGCAGGATCTTTCAATAGTACTGCTATGACAACAGCTGGCATACCGCTTGTAAACCGTTGCTGCTATGACCACAGCTGGTATACCGCTTGTAAACCGTTGCTATGGAACCGAATGCGTCACCATGCGCACAAAAATCATCAGAAGTACACGCAATTCCTTGCGACATACCCAAAACAATACAACATTTTATTTTTGTTATTTCTATATAGAAGATATGGTATGTAGTGATGAGCCAATAGTATGGACTAATAATTGGCAACAGATTCCTTTAACATCTCGTGATTGCAGATATTATCACGGGGGAAAACTGATTCGGCAAACTCTCGCCACGTACCGAGTGCAACGAGTACGAAAAAGTCGCCACCATCATTGGAGGACTTCATCATAAAAAGGGACTATACGGGAGCAAAAGCCTTTCTGGAATTTGCACGCGACTCTGAGGAAGAGGACAAACATGTGACCATAGACCAATGGATTGCTTTTTGCCATTTCCATTTGGGCGACTACCAGAAAGCTCTACAAGTGTACAAGCACATCAACGATGTTGAGTCCCCGACGGAAGATATTAATTTGAATGTGGCCGTGTGCATGTTCTATCTGGGCATGTACGACGAAGCCCAAAAGTTGATAGAACAGATTCCTAACACCCCACTCAAGCTGCGTTTAATGTTACATTTGGCCCATAAGTTTCACAATGATGATCAGGTGATGCAAATGCACGAATCGCTTAGTGACCAAATGGACGATCAACTTAGCGTGGCGTCACTACACTACCTGAGGGCCCACTACCAAGAGGCAATAGATATTTACAAGAGACTACTGCTGGACAACAAGTAAGTTTCGTCCTATATACATATATATGTATACATACATATACATGTATATAGCATTTCCAGATTAAATGAAACCTTTTCCAAATTAAATGAAACCTTTTCCAAATTAAATGAAACATTTTCCAATTGAAATGAAACCTTTTACAAATGGAATGAAGCCTTTTCCAATTGGAATGAAACCTTTTACAAAAAGAATGAAACTTTTTCCAAATTAAATGAAACCTTTATTCTTATCCAAGGAAATATAATATAGTTGTATGGCTATGTAATTAACATAAATATTCTTTAATTCGGTGTGATTTTGTTTAATATCTTTACTACATAAAAGTAAATAAATAGTAATACAAACTGGGGTATTTCTTGACATTTTAATAAATAAATATTTTAGAACAAGAATTGAATACCAGGTCCTAAATGCGAAATACATATTTGACATAATAAATCGTTGATGCTAAGGTAACTGCTCGTTCAAGACAAGGAACAAGAGCTCACATTGTGTTACCTACGGTCAGAGGTCGTAATGTCACTCTAATTGCAGCAATAAACAACGCGGGAGTTGTACATCACACAATAGATTCTAATTCCAATGTCAATGCAGACAGATTTAAATTATTTATAGAAAGTCTTTTGGAGAAAATCAATTTAGAGGTGGAAAATTCGTTCTTGATAATGGATAACGCTCAAATACACAAGCGACATGGCATAAAAAATTTGATCGAATCCGCCTTATTCTCCAATGCTAAATTAAATCGAAAATGCATTTTTTTAAATAAAGTTATGTGCAAGAGCTGAGCTGTGTGACGTTTCAATGGAACATAACATTGTTGATGTAATCGAGCGAAGTATTCAACAGCTTACTCGGCAAGATTGTTCTAACTACGTTATGGACATGGTTTTGAAAATCCCACAAGCTGCAAGTCGGGACCCCTTCATTAAGGTAAGCAGTTACTTTATCATCAACAAGTTTTTAAATCAAATATGTATTTCGCATTTAGGACCGGGTATTCAATAATTGTTCTAAAATATTTATTTATTAAAATGTCAAGAAATACCCCAGTTTGTATTACTATTTTTTTAGTTTTATTTAGTAAAGATATAAAATAAAATCACAACGAATTAAAGAATATTTATGTTAATTACATAGCCATACAACTATATTTGTTAATATTCTTTGATGTAATCTTCAAATATTGGTTTAAAATTACTGCAAATATTATATTTCCTTGGATAAGAATAAAGGTTTCATTAAATTTGGAAAAAGTTTCATTCTATTTGTAAAAGGTTTCATTCTATTTGTAAAAGGTTTCATTTCAATTGGAAAAGGTTTCATTTAATTTGGAAAAGGTTTCATTTAATTTGGAAAAGGTTTCATTTAATTAGGAAAAGGTTTCATTTAATTTGTAAAAGGTTTCATTTAATCTGGAAATGCTATATATATATATATATATATATATTACTGTCATCTTCAACAGAGAATATGCCGCTGTCAATGTGTACCTGGCCCTCTGCTTCTATAAACTCGACTACTATGATATGTCGCAAGAAGTCCTGGATGTGTATCTGAGCAAATATCCCGATAGCACCATTGCTATTAATTTAAAAGCATGCAATCGGTTTCGTCTATTCAACGGACGCGTAGCGGAGCAGGAGATAAAAAATATCGCTGACAATGGAACGTTTGGTGCAGATCTTATACGACACAATCTGGTCGTTTTTCGCAACGGAGAAGGGGCCCTGCAAGTATTCCCCGCCCTTCTAAACATTGTACCAGAGGCGCGTTTGAATTTGGCAATATTCTATCTGAAAAGCGGCGATGTCCAGGAAGCACACTCCCTTATGAAGGAGGTTCAGCCCACGGTTCCACACGAGTACATCCTAAAGGGTGTGGTGCACGCAGCATTGGGACAGCAACTGGGCTCGGTAAATAATCAAATTCTCTCTTTAAGACACGAATAACACAGTGCATCTCTCTTTGATGCAGAAGGAACACATAAAGACAGCACAACAAAATCTACATTTGGTTGGCAGCTCTGCCACCGAGTGTGACACCATTCCCGGAAGGCAAAGTATGGCCTCGGCATTCTTTCTGTATGGCCAATTTGAGGAGGTGTTGGTTTATATGAATTCGATCAGAAGCTATTTCGTAAACGATGACACATTCAACTACAACTACGCCCAGGCGAAATGCGCCACCGGTTACTATAAGGAGGCTGAAGAGCTATTGTTACAGATAACGGATATGGACATTAAAAATCAGCACAGTTATTGCATGATATTGGCGAAGTGCCACATACACGCCGGAAGACCGGAATTGGTAACTATGACCACTGAATCGTAAAATAAATAAGTATTTCATCATGACATCGTCGTAGGCATGGAACATCTTCATAACAAGAGATACGAGTTCCGAGGCGTTTCTGTTGCTGCAACTAATCGCAAATGAATGCTACAAATGCGAAGAGTTCTGGGTATCGGCAAAGGCCTTTGATATGCTTGAGAAGTACAAGTTCATTTGATGTTTAATGACCAAGCCAGTTAATCAGTTGTGTTTCCTCCTTTCCAGGCTTGATCCCAGTCCCGAGAACTGGGAGGGCAAACGTGGAGCCTGTGCCGGTGTCCTATACGTTCTGGCGACCAAATCTGAAAAGGGGAGACCACTCAATGGCATCACTGATGTCATAGGCCTCCTCAGAGACTCACCCAATAGCCAAGCTGAGGCCATGATCAAAACAATACGCAAGCACATGTCAGCATTTAAATAGGACAGCCCCAACAATTCGCAATGGTAGTTTAGGAGTGTTTTTGGCAGATCTTGTTGAACAATCACTTGAATGAATATTTGCATTGCATTCGAATAAAACAACAATGTGACACAACACCATATTTTATATCGCATAGACCATAGCTGCGGTGGATGAATGCTGGTGCTGCTTGTCAGGTATTCTTCAGAAACGTCATCATTATTTGTCAAATAAATGGATGAATAAATATGGAAATGATAAATAAAATACACTTCGGAGGTGTTGTCTGGATGCAACAGGGCGAAACAATCTAATGATAGCGAGAAGTAAACATAATACACAATGCGTGTACATTAGGGTTATGATTTTTTTTTGCATTGAGCCTTTGCCTATTAATTGTTGAAATAAGATGTATTTCATTTAATTATTTAAAAAGATAACGAAAATCCATTTTCCACACTTCGTCGTATACGAAAGGTTATGCCATTTTGTGTGGTTCTAAAGCGTGTTATATATATATATATATATATATGTCTTTATTATCAATAACAATTACTCAATAACCAATTTTATAAATTCTCAGCAAATTTCAAATGATTTTATGCTTGAGGATTTTTATAGAATCACTTTATGATACTGAGATTGCAAAAAAGTCATACCCGTAGTGTACATACACACTCATCCATTGTGGTCGAATGAAGTGGCAAGATTTGTTATTTGTCTTACGAGAAGTGACAAAGTAGTGTTGCCCAAGGATAAGGTGAAAAACATAACAAAAACCAGAGCTAGAAAATTTATTTAGTTCGCAAATAATACAGTCGTGCACCACCTTATTTGTTAAAGCCAAACTGTAGCCTCAATAGCACCGTTTTCATCTTGCAAATCTTGAACTTATGATGATGTAATCCTAGCTGGATTATTATATTATTAGCTAAGGTTTTAGTTTAACCGTGGTTTTAAGTTTGTCGGGTTGGGTTGGATTTTCAAATAATATGTACAGCTTTTTACGCTCTATAATATCAAAAAACATAAATTTTCGAAGTTAAGGGTCGTACCTAAATTTATGCGTATGCGTACGAATTTATTCACCTCAAAAGTTAAATACATGTATTTCAATGAATGCTACCCAAATACGCATTGCGTATAAAAATATAAAGTTGAAAAATTTCAACATTGACAATGCGTATTTTGGAATTTTTATTTTTTGCAAATAGAATTCCAGTCATCGAAAAAATACTTTTTCTATAAATGTAAACATTTTTCGATCAATTAAAAATATGTTTTCATCCGTTTTCGCCGTTTTCAATTGGCACAGATGCAAATAAAGTCCTTGCGTATTTGGGTAATACGGACGTCTAACAAACCCTATAAAGGTGACAAGGTGAATAATTTTTTACGGAGCGCAATAAATTAGGTACGACCCTTATTTTTTTAATTTTTGTACTGGGTTTAGACTTGCTATTAATTCGACTAACAATTTATGACAGAAAGATAGGCAAAGGAAAAACAAATAAATCTTTCGTAAACACCTGTGTGTTTAACGCTTCAGGAGCACACATCCCGTCACTTGGAATTTTAAAGATATTTTCCTCAGTTGTTGTTGGTTCGTATTAAATAATAAAAAATCCATTGTTTATTTATTTATTTAATTCATAATGTAATATCAGAGCCTCGTAAGGCCATACAAATGTATTACATAAACAATAATTGTTTTTATAATCATTATTAATTTTAAATAATTGTTGTTAGAATCATTATTAATTTTTCACAAGGCCAAATTGTGTTTTGATTCTCTCTTAAGAGTTTATAGCAATTTTAATGTGCAATGTTGCAAAAAACTTCGTGTCGGGCGTTGATCCGATCTTTATATGTTTTTGTGGAATTATTATATACAGTCGAGTACGCTTATAACGAACACCGGTTATAACTAACTTCGTCTATAGCGAACACTTTTCCTGGTCCCAAAGTTGTAAGACATATTTTTCATACAAATCTTAACTCTTATAACGAACTACGGATATAGTGAACTTTTTTTATAACGAACTATTTATTCGGTCCCAACATTCAGTTTTCATATATTTTAAATTGGTTAAAACGAACTTGCTACAAATATACGTAATACTGACGATGACAATCCTCACAAAAGTTAGTTTTTATTCTAACGCTGGCAACCTTTACAAAAAATGGCAGCTTTAATGCCATGTTGATCAAAGAAAACGAATTGTGAAAAAGGCAAAAAAACCCGTCTCTACATTTTCTGCGAAGCCTACAACGAACTAGTTTGCATGGTCCCTACTAGTTCGCTATAACAGTACTCGACTGTATGCAAAAATCTATTTAGCGGAATTATGGGGAAATACTGTCCATTTTCGAAATTTCGACATAGATAGTTCACATTTTTTTTAATATTAAGTTTTATAATTGCATTATGTTTATTAGTATCATCTTAATGATCCGACAAAAATATCGAGCCATATTCGCCAAAAAACGTAACCCTCAAATTTGAATTTTTTTTTACAGGAGAAGGCTTTTGTAATAAATTCAGATTTAATAAAGCTATTATTTTGAAATTTACAACTATAGTTTTGTTATAAACTAGTTTTGTTTTAAACTATAGTTCTAAATTGGAAAATAGTAGCTTTATTAAATCTGAATTTATTAAAACAAACCTTCTCCTGTAAAATTTTGCGAATATGGCTAGATATATGCTGGTCGGTTTATTCGTTTCAAACGTCAGTGGGCAAATGTCATTAGTAAAAACAATTCAGATCAACTAATCTATATATATATATGATCGATGGGTACTAAAATCTTATTCGTAAAAATCCATTTAATAGAACGGCAGTAACTGGCCTTTCCTCCATGGGCGGTTAATAACCTCTCCCATTAGTTATTACGTCAATTCTTAAGCACCTTCTTTATATCAAATTATATGTATATTGACTCTCTTTGTTGCTGCTTATCTTCGGATTTTAATTCGAAATCATTTATAACTATATATCGGTTATAACGACTTATCCAAAAGTCCAGATATAGTTATATCCTATAGTTGATAGCGTTCATAACGGCACATCGCTTATAGCGACCATTTTCGCCGGTTCCTTGGCCTTTTGTATAAGCGATTTCGACTGTATTTGCTCTGGACGATTTAATTACCTGCCCAGCTATCACTGCCAACAAGCTACAAAGGGCACAGAAAGGTTTATCTGTGCACATTACCTCACAAAACGTTCGCACCCGAAATACAACAATGGCAACACAGCAAAAAGGAAAACTATTAATTTGCATGATTATCGTTTTCAACATAAATTCATTTAAGGAATATTTAAGTTGTTCGTTGTCGCAAACGAAGGCCGTAATAAGTGAGAACCAACACTCAGACAACATGGTTTGCCGAAACACAACCCAGAAAGTCAGCGAGGAATGCTGGCTGAGTGCACGCATCGCTGTGGAGCATTTTCTACGGCAATGGCATTGCTGCACCGACATAAAATAAACAAACTTTCAAATTCCATTAAGTGCTATAAATTTTGTAACTGATAGGGAGCACCGATATGTACCAACTTTATAGTGGGTGCCTGTTTACACCATTACACACACACACGGGAATGCACTTCCTCCATTTCGGTTAATACGACGGTACAGCAAAAAACACAGGTTGAATATGTGAATAACGGATGTGTTTAATTTCTTAAAGAAGTTTCCACAGTCAAAGCAAGAGTGGGTAGTGGCAGGACGTAAATTCCAACAGTCCTCCAATTCCCTTAAATAAGGCTGGCATTCATTCACTTCTGAATCGCGGGTAGTGGTTGTGTTTGAAGGCACTTCTTGCTCCAATGCCAAAACTTTGCAGACGATTTTATGTTTTCACTGCTCTTATGCTCGGAGCCATCATTCCCTTTGCCATGATCGCAATTACATTTTCTTAATTCCAATTAAAGTAGCTACGAACACAAAAGACATTATTAGCCGTGTAGTTGGGAGATATATCGCTACAGTGTATACATTTCCAAATGGATAGAAGTTAAGGTACAGCAATCACAAGTATATATATATATATATATATGGGATTCTCGAACTGAGGTATCACACACACACACAAACATATCATGAAAACCAACCGTCTCTTTATCCCAAATACACTTTGACTTTCATACCTAGTTTTGTCAAAATCATGAAATTATATTTTCAAACTCAATTAATTTTGAGCAAATAAAAATAAATCAATAAGGAGTCAACTATCATAGCACCTCCAACTACATTGTTTATTAAGCGAGCCCGATACAACCTCTACCAATTGCTATTTTCTGAATTCTGCGTGAAGAGAACATGTCGAAAAGCTATTTGTCTAAAGAGGATGCCATCAACCGCCTTTACGCCAACATTAAATCAAAGTTCCAACAAAATGGCGTTCTTCAAGAAGCCCGCTGTTTACTACAAACTAGAATGGTGGCGCTAATGAAAGGGGATAATGGGTCGGGCGCCATGCCACATACCGATCCTCTATCCAGTGACATTTGTTGTGGTGATGCACCCACCATGTCATTACTGCATCAACTGATTTTGGACTACCTTCGATGGAATGGGTTCCATTACTCCGCTCAAATGTTCGCGCAGGAAAGTGCTTGCCATGATGTCCAGCCCTTGCGTGAATATTTCGAGTCAAATCTAGGCCGTTTTGAAAACGAGTCTGTGCCCATATTATTGCAGCTCATAGCCGAGAAGATGGATAGAATCAGGCTCCAACACAATCACAACGACTAGTTGCCCGATAATCGATAACAATTTCTTGAAATAATTAATAAATTTACTATTAAATCGATAAATTAGCTTAGTAGTTTAGATTGCTGGTGTGCTAAAAACGCAATTAGAAGAGCAAGGCTGCATTCCGGTTCAAAATTGACTTGCTTGGTTTAGTCAATGCGACTACACACACAAACTCTAATCGACACTCCAGTATGTCGGAGGAGGACAAGTGTGTGCCTGAGCTGCAAGTGTACTCTTGGCTGTTCTTCCGGTTTCCGTTGGTA